CTCTGCCTTACTAAAACCAAAGTGCTTTCTGTTATGGAACACCAGAGGGCGTATTCCAATGAAACCTGAATTTGAAGGGGAGGGGGTCAGAGCATGGGGAGGAGGGGGAGGAAGAAAGAGAGCGAGAAGAATCCCAAAGCTAATAAGAAAAATCAAGCTTTTGGTGTGTATCCTTATCTACCATAAAACATTGCCATGGAAACAGCACCAGTTAAGATGATTGTATATTTAGGTCATAGTATAAAAGAAGGAGCTTGAACATGTGGGGGGAAAAAAAAGGAAAGGAAATAAAGTTAGACAAGAATATATAAAGAATACAAGGAGGCAAACCAATTGGAATCGACCTCATCCTTTGCTAACTTCAGTTCACAAAGTCACGTTATGGCTTTCAAAGCAAAAGTGGGTAATGCATTCTAGTTAGAATTAAGTGAAACCATTCAAATATGGAACTTTAAGTGCTAACAATTTTAATAAAGAAAGAGGAACGCTTCAGCATGACAAGATGAAGAGGAGAACAAATCAGAAGCTGGAGTACGAATGAATGGTCTTAGACAATCCACAGCTAGCTTTGTCACCCGGAAGAAGTCCCCCCAGTTACTTCCACATCTATCATGAATTAAACTGGATAAAATGAAGATGTCCTTTCAACATTTCACAACAGATGTGGACATTCTCTTTGGTGAGCCTCAGTACAGCTGAAAAGTAGACATGGCATCTAGCAAAAGTTAGTTAATTTAGGGGTCCTTGCTTTGCTCTGCTATAACCACATCAAGCATGCTATGCCAACTACCAATCTAGTTAGCACTGAACATTCTTTGCTTAAGATTTAGGGAACCCACAAGAACATGCAAAGCTGAATTAAACAGATGGGGAGAACATCACTGAACTATAATTCCACAATTTTTCTCTCCCCAGACACAGGGAAAATAAATGTTGCCAACTATTCAGAGTGCCACCCAGTGCGATAGGAGAGACCAACAGGCTTCAGGTTGAATCTAGGGACTGCAGCGTACTATGTGACTGAGGTTGGTCATTAACAGACCCTGATAAAGATCGATTACCTCACATATGAAATCAAGACAATAATGTCCTCTTGATGTGATTGTTTTAATGGGAAAAAAAATGAGAATCATCTACTCAGGCATTTGACAAATATTTAACAAGTTCCTAGAATGTGCCTGACTGTATTCAACAGCGAGGGTAGAACACTCACAAAACAGATAATATAACATGTAATGTGCTAATGACTGGGCCAGGGACTTGGAACACACTCTGAAAATGACTCTCCACTGGAAGATTAATTACTTGCCTTGCCTCCCCCACCTGTCCTCGACCACCACCACACACTGTGTGGCGCAGAAGGGCTCGATGACGAAGCTTGCATTGGTGAGCCCTACTAAAAGAAGATTCCCAACACCTGCTCAAGGAGCCAAACGTGGCTTGAAGGACGGGTGATAGGAAATGAAAACCAGTGAACAGTCACAAGGAGGAGACTGACAGTGTTTGATCTGTAAGAGTCCACTTCGGAAAACGACGGTGAATGCCAACATCACAATGGGAAAACCAAGTCTAACACGACTTTCAAATGAAGAAAACCAGACACGTTCTTTTCAGTCTCTATTTAGTCAAAGCAGCAAGTTTATTTTATGAGTCAGTCTGGGCTTTGGCTGCTTCCATGAAGGCAGTCACTGATAAGCACTGTCTCACACACACGCACACCTGACACAAAGGCTGACCTCGCGGAGGCAGGCCGAGCAAGCCTTGCCAAGAGTACACCCACAGGTCCTCAGACTGTTCATAGTTTTTATGTCCCCATTTCCTCATTTCTCCTCTTTTTCCCCCTTTTGCACTGGCCTTGACATTTGTCCTTGCTGTGGGTCAGAGGGCCATTTAACTCCAAAGGAGCCGATGCGTGTTCCATGTCGTCTGTCTCGTCTATGTCCTCCGTTCACCCAGCAGAGCTACTGCTTTCTCTTCAAATCTTGGAGGCCACCGCAGCCTGTGTGACCTTCTCACTGGGGGTTGGCTGCCCTGGAACTGGAGTTAGAAAACTGTCTGGCGCATTTGCATCTAAGTGTCTAATTGGAAGCCTCTCCAGACAAGCAAGGGAATGTGGGACAGGTATGGCAGTTGTTTTCATGACGCGAATAAGGCAGTCTCTTTCTCCCCCACCCCCAGAGTGAGACTGTGTGTTAGGAATTCCCATTTGACTTTGGCTTGTGTTAGCATTTCTCTTCCTGCACATCAGTCTCTGAAGTCAATTGAGAGCTGCAAACATGTGTTTAGGTTCTCTCGCACTTGGATTAAGAAAGGGATGTTCAAATCTATTTTCTCACGCCAGGCACCCTGGGACACACTTACATAAACAACACTCCTTTTCTTTCATAGGAAGGTGAGCGTCTATCACACAGCACACTCAATTTTAGATCCCAGAACTTTCCCCTATCCCAAACCCACCTCATTCACAGGATTTTAAAGCAAGAAAGTGACTTTGCTCAAGCTCCCATGCCTTTATAGGGTCAATTTTTATGTTAGTTCTAACTGATGTTTTTATTTAGCCCAGCAAAGCAAATAGACCAATGGGATGTTGCTGAGCTATTCATGCCGTGACAACTGGTACACCTTGTTAATATAAGAGGAATAACAACAACAATAAAAACACCATCTGGCATTGACATTTTTGACTTCTTGTGTGCCACACCTGCAACACTGAAGCAGATATGGTACAGAGTTTTTCCATGGACTTGCCTAGAATCTCAGAAGCTTACTCTCTGAATTGTAGCCTAATAATACAGTTTCAATCTCTGGTCAATTCAACTGGTCTTAGCTTTGTGGTCACCACTGTGTTTGCTGTTTTGGTTGCAATGCTAGCCTGCATATACCTAAAATTTCTAGTAGAGTATCATCAAGCCCTAGTCTATGCTAATGAAGATAATTGATAGATACACATTTGGATGTATTACTCGCACACAATACAGAGTTAGTCATCCCTGTAGTCTACGGATTGCTTCACTTTCACAATTCCAGACTCCAGAATCACCCAGTGTGAAGAAAGGACTGACCCACCCCCAAACCCGACACACACTTGCCTGGGCTAAAGGGACCATGACTGTGGCCTTGAGGGTGAGCGCAGGCCAGGCAGGGGAAGTCCATTCTCCAACAGCCAGAGCACTGGGAGGCTTTTACACGGGAGCCTTTCCCACCTCGCTCCCTATCCAAATTCTAGCTTTACACAGTTCTGCCAATTCTTCCCCTGGGGGCTTTTTCTGGAGGCTGGGCTGACTTCCCTCTTGACAACCCAACCCTTCGCGGGATCGGGGATGAGGCTTGCGGTGGCAGCTGTGAAGGTGGCCGCAGGCACCGGGAGCTGTGCAGCCCCAGCAGCGCGCTGGAGCACAGAGCAATGTGTGGTAAGGGTGTTTTTGTCGTCTGCAAAGTGCACCCGGGGATAGGCAGTCGCACCGCTGCCACTTACCCAGTGCCACCCAGAGCTAAGAAAAGAGCAAGAAAAGCAAAACAGAAAGGGGGTGGGGTAGAAAGTCGGTGCCAGGAATCCCGGGAACGTGAGGACTGGTGGGCGCTGGGCTTCTGCGGGACTTCCCAGCGCCTGAGCAGGCGGGCGAACTCGGGGCCCTGGGCGGACAAAGCCACAGACTCACTGAGTCGGTGAGCTGACACAGAGACCCGAGGCGGCTGGGGTGAGATGTCAGCGGACAGCTCTGCTGGATTTAATCATTTACCTCCGCCACTCCGCCGGGAGTGACTCTTCCCGCAGATATTTCCATACATGCCAGAGTCTTGGCATCTCGCCCAGGAACAGCCGGGTCGCTGGACCCTCCCCGGGACGATTTTATAGCTTACAGTAGCCTAGGATCGGTGATGGGTAACAAGTGCAGAAAGGGATGCTGGTGTTGGAGGGAACTGGAAGGCGGAGGCTGTGACTCTACCTCTGTGGCAAAAATTCGGGGGCAATTTTGTCCTCTGGAACGCACTGTCTGGGTAGCCACCACCTTTCCCATTGAGGGGCACTCAGGGGGGCTGGGCAGAGCTCACAGGTGAATTTCTGTGTGTTCTCCACCGGTTCTGCATGCTACAAGTTAGCCGCGATAGCCTAGATCCGCAGGTGCAGGCGGCAAGAGGTTCGCGGACGCCTTGGTCCCCTGTATACAGTCTCGAGGTCTGCCAGCGTGGACCAGGACACAGGGGGAGTTGACTGGCGAGGCTGAGGGCACAGTCTGGGAATTGAAGGACTCAGGGTTGAGACCCCCTGTCTGCTAGTGACAGGGGACAGAAAACCCCGCATGCGGGGCTGCAAGACAGGGTGCAGAAGGCTCTCCTCTGCTTCGTCCTAGGACCCTCATTCATAGCCTGCTTCCACCCATCCCCACAATACCCCAGCTCTTGGGCCCCGGCCCATGGACTGCAACGCCAAACATTTATCCAGAGCCAGAGGAGGGTGCTGTGAAGGCTGAGGCTTTGGGGAGGAGGGGGGGTCGGCTCACAGCGGGGTTCACTGGACCTCCACCCCAGATGCACTTAAGACCCGGTGGGATGCGGGGCAGAAAGGAACCTGAAGAGCGACAGAGGCGAAGCTCTCCATTACCTTTCCGGATTTCAGCAAACGGGGAGCGGCCCAAGATTGGGGTCCGTGACGGTGGAGGGAATGTGGTGCTAGAAGATACTGCTTCCAGGGCAGCGCGGTTCCCAGGCTGCCTTTAGCCACATTCCGCCACATTCGGTGACCCACCGAATCTTACCTTCTCCCTGCGCTGTGCCTTCTTGGCTCCTGCCTTCCAAGCCCCTCCATTCCTTCCCTGAGCATTCCGAACCCCAGGAATCAAAAGTTTCCGTTTGGGAATCTGCATGTGTGTCGGACCACCCTCCGATTCCCCCAAATCCCGACCTTCCGCGCCCTTGTTCTGGGGGAATTGGGAGGGACCCCGCCATGCCAGCTCCCTTGGCGCGCATAAGTGAAGAACTGAGCAGCGTGGTCCCCTTACCTGTCGCGGATTTAGCCCCAGTTGCCTCCCCGGGCTTTGATCTGGTGGAGGCTGGCAGGAGTGAGGAGCCCTTCGCGGGGCCGGGACGACTCGTCCGGGTGAGAGCTGCTCACCGCTTAGAGTCCGGAGTCAGTCGTCCGTTCGCTTTCTCCCTTGATCTTGCAAAAGAAAAAGGGGATAAAAAAAAAAAATTTAGTTGGCGCCGCGGCATGGAGGGGTGGGGCGGGAGAGGCGGGGAGACAGACAGCGACCCAAGGCTCCAGCCAGAGCTGCGGGGATCGCGCGCGCGCCACCGCCCGGGTCCCAGCCACTTAGCTGGTTTGGGACCAATTCGCATTTTAGACTTGCTTTACATTAATGCTGTACCCCACCCCCCACCCCCCACCCCCAGCAAATCGTCAAAAGAGATCCAAGTAGGACTTTCAAACCTGGCTTTCAGCAAGACGAGTGCGGAGACCAAAATAGAACCGGGACCTGGATACGGCCGCGAGCTGGGCGCGATTCATTTCTTCGCCAAAGTGTTTGGGGAAGTAGTAATTTGTCTAGGGGGACAGGGGGGATGGAGCAAAGGAGAACAACACCTATTCCGGTGCCTGTGGTGATTTCTTAGTTGAATCTTCGGTTTTTAAGATGGTGTGTGTGTGTGTGTGTGTGTGTGTGTGTGTGTGTGTGTGTGTCCCAGTCTCTGCGCGCGCTCTCCCTCCAGCTGCTCTCTGTACCCAGGAGCCTTCGGCGTAGCAGGCGAGCGTCTCTGTATTGGAGCGTGTGTGTTCGATTAGCTGCAATGGGCGGACAATTTCTGGAGAGAACATTTACAATTTTCTTTCCATATGACAGGATTAGTTGCTGTTGAAAGGCGATCCTCCAATGGAATGTTTTCTGCGCTCTGATTTGGCGGTTCTTCTGAGCCAATATGACAGCCCTTTTCTCCAGGCTCCTTTCCCCTCCTCTCCCTAGAGCCCAGCTCTCAACCTGCCATTTCTACAGCACAGTCTTTGCAGTGAGCACCCCAAGAGCCATTCCTTTCAGTGACCGAAGGCTACGCAGGTGACATATTGTATTGGCAAGAACGCAGTGTTGCTTTGTGAATGAGGAAGATAATTTAAGCCCAGTTTTTTTTTTTCCCCAGGTGGGAAAATGTTCGAATAAATACACTAGGCTTTGTAGTAAGCATATGATCTTGCTGAAGAAATCACACATGATTTCTTTGGGATGCTGGTCATTGTAAAAGGAGAGGTGGCTTTCTTTTTTCTTTCAGGAGTGAGCCAGTTCATTTACTGTTTTTTTATTCAAGCCATGGGCAGTAGAATCTGAAATACATTTGATGCTTGGGGAATTGGTCATCTCCATGCTGAGGGACTGGGAGGGGGTGGGAGGAGAGAATGTTAACTTCTTGTGTTCTGACCAGTCTTGGGTTTTTATCTCTTTTAATGAGCATTTTCTGGCAAGACTTCCACATAACATTTGTATGTTTTAAATACATGTGACCAAGGTGCGATGATAGCATTGGAGGTATAGCAGAGGATTTGCCTTTGTGATGGTATGTGCAGACAAAAAGGCAACACAGATACATGAAAAGCAGGCTGTATTTTCTGTCGTTCAACTTCAATCAATGGAAACAAGTAAAAACTCAGAACTGGATGTGTCACTGAATCATAAAGAAAGACACAAACTAAGTTAAACATGCGTTGATTTACTATATCCAATTCAATTTAATGCAGTTTAATTCTTGATGTTTAGGCCATTGCTAGGGATGAAGGGATAATAGGGTGATAAAAGCCATTTCTCCTGTTCTTGATAAGCCTGGAACCTCTCTGGTACAAAAAGACACCAATCAAGATATTTGATTATAAAGTAACACACTAAAACTGATAAGTATAAAACACATAGTTGAAAGTTTCTTCCTTTTTTTTCCCACGAGTCATGGCTATGAATAAGCAGGAACTGTGTCAAACTTTCGTCTTCTTGATTGACTCCCTGACAGCACATGACAAAACTATACTTCTGATTCAACTGCGCATCCACACCCACCGATGCTGGGATTATAAGTTTCATGTTAGAACACAAGGAGAGCTCTGTGCAGTCCTGTGCCCGGCGTCCAGGAGCCTTCACCCCTTGGGCAGACATCAGGCTTCGCCATCCTTTCGCTTTTGAAAAGGAATTCACGTGTTCTTCTCCTCAGCCATTCTTTCTTGTGTAGTAAGCTTCCATAAGCATATGACTTGGCATGAATCTTTTTGCACACACACACACACACACACACAGATACACACACACACACACACACACCCCTGAAACAAATAAGGGAAGTAGTTCCCTGATCAGCAATAAAGAACTCCCAGCAATGTGTTGCTATTTATTCTTTCATAACATTGCCTGCTGGCTAACAATGGCGACCCATTTCAACAAGAATAAGGCTAATGATTTTTTAAAAATTCAATAAAGCAGAAATGCACAGGTAACTAAAGCACCGAGTCCGATAGGTGTCTTGAAGAAGCAGTTTTAACAGAGCTGCACATGAACTCCTCCTGTATCACTGAAAACACATTATTGTATATACTGAGAGATCTGGAAAAGATTCTTTAATTTCTCTGTGCACATTAACAGAACAGTGTCCTAGGGCTGCTATAAGGCATCATACAACTAACCAGAACAGTGTCTGAAATATGCCCACTTGGCTAAAGTTACAATGTAGTGTGTCAAGATTGAAACATGCAGTTTCCTGGGGTAGATATTTTGTTCATCATTTAGGAAGCTCACCTCCCATATTCCTGTACCAGGGTTAGATCCCTGCTCCAGCTTCCTCCCACTGCAGATCTGGGATGGCAGCACTCCTGACTCCAATGGGGTCTGGGTATTGGCTTTGTTCCTAGCTCTGGCTGATCCTGATACAGCCTTTACAATCCTTTAGGGAATGATTGGTGGAAGAGAGCTTCTCTCTTTCTCTCTCTCTTTTTCTCTTTCCTTCTTTCTCTCCCCTAATCTTCCTCTATCTTTGTCACTTAAATAATAATAATAAAGGTCCCTGCATCATGCCTTGGCCAACTGAAACAAGAGCAATTAGCAGTGACTCTTGCCATTGGAAAACATGCTGCTTTAACACCATCAGGCAACAACAGTGTTAAACATAATCCATCCCGACACTGACCCCGGGGAACTGTGTAATTTTCCCTTTCTAGTTTCTTTCTATAAAAGAAATATTGATATGTATTCGGGGCACTTTATTTTCACCTCTTAAGCAAGTTCACTTTCTGAGATAAAAGCATCCTCCCCCAGCCCAAGAACGGAGCATTTATAATTATTAGTAACTCTTGGTGTGGAACATTTTCAAAAGTGCCTTTTAAAGACCTTGTACAAGGCATCTATGGGCTTTCCTTTATCTACATGCCTATTTTCCACCTCAAAGAACTCTAATAAGTTAGTAATTTTCACGTGTGAAGCCAAACTTCATTACCCACCTCCTCAAACTGCTCGCTAGTCTTTGGCATGGGCTGAAGAGCCTGAAGCCCCTACGGGTTGATTTAAAATCTTTGACAAAGCTTGCTTTTGAATAAGACTGCGGATGAGGTCAGCAGTTACTTGTAAAGGCCAGTGTGGGCCTCCTTCCTGGGAAGGTGGTGGTGCATCTTGTGCCATGTTGATTTCCAGGCAGCAATAACCAGGCTTCAGCCATTAGATGCACACATCAGTACTCTCTCCTAAGTAGATTAAGAGAATGACATATTCAACGTCAGTGACTTCCGGGTATGCAGGTCACAACAGGTATTTATTTATTCTGTTTTCAAGGAGCTGAGAAAATGAAGGCGACGGCTTTGCCACTTTTAGGGAAGAGCACCAAAGACAGAAGCTCTTGCCTCATCCGTCATCTCCCACTCACACCAAGTGTTGAAGAGTTCATCCAGAGCAGCGCAGTGTTTATCAGCAGGAGGTTTGGAGAAGGCGGACTGATCTGTCTGATGTATGCCAAAGGGAGCTTTCCTTTCTTTGAGTTTCAGTTGGAAATATAACCATCTTGGGTTAAAAGTGGCTCTCTGATAGATGACAATCATGCTTGCCAGCATCTTTCACTGTTCTGAAATGTTAATAGCAACCCCCTTATAGACATACTATTCTTCTGATTTATTTTCCCTACAAACCTTCTCAGGGAGTAATTTAAAAGCTTCTATTCTTTAGCTAGAAAAGATGATGGTTTCTTTTTCTCCTAAAAAGAAAATCCTAAGGCTTTTCTTTTTCAGATCCTGCAGTAGAACTCTTCATATACAAATGGGGCTGATTCTGGGTGATAATGTTTAGTGACAATCTGAGGAACAATGCCTGGCTATTTTTTTTTCTTTCCCTTTTTCTTCAAGTTTGGCATCACAGATGTTTTAAGCTCTCTCTCCTAGCCGGGATAAGTGTTGTCCAAAGCCTGGAAACAGTTACTGCAGCTGGATCTAAAATATTTTACATTTAGACTTTGGCAAACAGGGCATATTAAGAAGTTGGCAGGGGAGGGGTTGGGGCAGTGGAGGATTGGAAGTGGCAGTGGTGATCCATCAGCATTAAGGATACAGAAGAAAAGCCATGCGGGCTGCACGTTTGCTTAGAGAAGTATTTAATAATATGCATGAATTCCTGCAACCAGTGGGCTGAGTTCATTTTCAGAGGCAAAGCTCAAAAACAGGGTGAATAAAGTTTCACACCATCTCCTTCAGAGTATGTTTTAAAGGGCTTACAGTGCCCCCTTTTAGAGTCTACATTTGATGCTGAAATCTTGGATGGAGATAAGATTCTGACAAGTGAAAGCGGTATCAGACTCTTGAATAAACAAGGCCCTGGATTATAGGAATCAGTAGCTCTCCCCCACACACACCCAGGAATGAGTCATTAAGGAACATATAAAATCTTTGGTAGTCCATGGGGAAATCTGCTTTACTTAGATTTTAGAATAAACTCATCCTTACCGATGGGTGTTCACAAAATTTCTTGGATCCTATAACATACTACTTAGGCTAACTACAATGGCATTCCAGCAGGGAGCCAAAAATGCTAACAGATTCCAAAGAAATGTCCTGGAAGCCATCACAAAACAAGGCAGCATACTCATTAAATATGATCTAGCCTCTGTTTCTTGACAGTGACCAGCGTAATTGGTATACACAAAGCAGCCTTTTGTCAA